TATTTAATTTAATACTTTCTCTATTTATTATTTCATGTCTTTCATTTTATTACTCTTTTCATTTTTCATCTCTGATTTTTCATCATGAACTTCACAGAAATACCATGATTTTTAAATAAAAATAATCATTACATGAAACAAAAGAGATTAAATGGAATAAACAATATTATATATTAAATAATATACACTAAAAATGTTTAATAATTGTCAGATAGTCAATAGATATGATCACTTTGAAAATAGACATTGGTACAATTGTGAGAACAATAAAAATTATAATCAAAATTATAATTATCCTAATAGAAGATGTAAACAATATCATTACAAAAACAGAAACAATCAGAAGATGATAAAAAGAAGTAAAAATAGTGTATTAAAGAAAAGAGATGAAAGAACTAAAGAATGGAAAGAGAAGACGAAATAATAAAAGAATTGATGGAAAGGATTGAAGAAGTTGAAAAGTTAGTAACAAGAATAAAAATAGGAAAAGAAGAAGAGAAAGAAATAGCAATGGAAAAGGAAGAAAATAGAGAAGAAATAATACAAGAAGAAGTTAAAGAAACAGATGAAGAAGAAATAGAAGTAATTAAGAAAGAACAACAAAAAGAAATAGAAGATATAATAAAAGAGAAAGAAAAAGAAAAGAAAGCAAATGAAATAGAGAATAATAAACAAAGGATAAAAAAACAGAAGAACAAACAAAGAAAGAATTACAAGAACAAATAGATAGAAGTGTAGAAAATAATAAAATAAAGAGAGAAAGAAACACAAGAATGAATAGAGGAAGTAGAAAAAGAGATGAATAGATAGAAGAAATACTTAGAGAAGAAAATAATATTATAGAAAGAAAAAGAGAGAAGAAAGAGATAGAACAAGGAACAATAAAAAGACAAAAATATCGGGAATAGAAAGTACGGAAAATATTTAGAAAGAATAGAAAAAGAGTAATGTAGTAGAAGAGAAACAAGAAATGATAGAACAAAAGGAAAAATGAAGAAGAAAGAAGAGAAACAAAAATAAGAAAATACATAAGTTATGGAATGAATAAATTAAATAATAAATTAAAAAAAGAAAATAAGAATGGAAGAATCAAGAAAATAAAGAAAGAATAACATAATTTTATTACAAAAGAAGAATATATTAAAATAAACAAAGAAATGAGATGGATTAAAAAGACATCATAAAACATGTTAATAAAATAGTAGAAGATATGAGAAGTAATACAGAAAATATAGAAAATGAAAGAATAAAAGAAATAATAAAAATGAACAATAAGATTGATACAGAATATATTGATGATTTAATAAGAAAAAGGAAAAGATAAAAAAGAAAGGAGTTATATTTAGTATTATTTTCATAGTAATATTTTTGAAGAAATAATAAAATACAATAATAAGAAATGGGAATTGAAAGAAATATCAAAGAAATACAAAAACAATTATAAAATGATATATATATAATTGAAAATAAATAGAATATAAATTTATATGATATAAAAAGAATATAGGAGAAATAAACTAATGTAAAATAAATAAAATACAAGATATATTAATAAGAGGAAATTATAAAATAAGAAGGATATTAAGAATAAGAATCTTACAAGAAGAAAATAATAAGAATAGAAGTGAATGAAGAAATAAAAGAAATAAGAAAGAAATTGAATTAAATAAAAGAAAAAGAAACAATTTTATTTTTGAATCAAATATATAATAAAGAAAGAAAAATAAATTTAGAAAATGAAAGAATTAAAAAATAGATAGAAGAAAGTAAAACAATAAAATTGAAAGGAGTAACAATAACAATATAAGATATTGAAAAAGTAATAACTATAATACCATCATAGAATGCACAAATTATAAACACATTACAAGGATATTATCTGAAAAATAGAAAGTAATAGAGACAAAATAAAGAATATATTTAATGAATGGATACAAATACTAAAAACATTCACATTAGAAATGTTAAGAGGAAGAATAATTTTAATATATAAATGTAGAGATAATAAAAAATCCAGAGAATTGTAGACAAATCACTTGTTTAAATATAATTATGAAAATATTCACAACAATTATAAAAATGAAGATGTAAGAATAACTAATAAAGAATAAAAATAAATTTAAAAATAATAAAAGTCAATATTGAAACAAGAAATTGAGTTTAGCAGCTAATGAATGAAGTATAAAGAGTTTAATAGAAAGAAAATAAAGAGAAACACTACATAAAAGATAATTAGAAACATTTTATGATAATAAAAAGCATCTGATAATGTAAATAATACATGACTAGAAGTTACATTAAAATACTTAAAAATGCAATTTCAAATAACACAAATAATAAAAAGTAAGAGTGAAAGACAGAGAATAAAATATGATATAAATATAAAAAAGAAATATGAGAAGTCAAAATAAATAATTATATTTTATAATGTGACTATATTCTCTTATTCATATTCAAAATGAATATCATTTCTGATGTAATTGTTTAAAATGAAAATGGCTAAAAGTAACACATGAATTATATGGATGACATTAAAGTAACAAATGAAACAAAATGGAAATAACACATCAGAAAATAATTGAAACAAATGAATCAATAGAATTGAAATAAAAAATAAATGATGAATAGTAAAAAGAGGAAATATAAGTATCACAGATAACATGAATATTATACAATTAGAAGATAAAGAATATACATATAAATAATTATGAAATGATCAAATTACAAGAAATGATGATACAGAATGTATATGGAAAATAATTAATAATATAAAAGAATGAATAGAAGAAATAAAAGAAATGATAATAATAAGAATTATATTAATAGAATAAATAAAGAAATAATACCAAAATTCACATATAGTGCTTCTATTGTTTAATAACCAATTACGAACTTAAATGAAATGAATAAAATGATAAGAAAATGAATAAAATAATGAAATGTAATAAGTACAAGAATGTGTACGAGTAGATTATATTTCAATCAAAATAAAATGGAAATGGAATAAAGAGTGTAAGAGATGAATAATGGTATTGAAATAATAAGAAAATATTTATTGCAATTGAAAAGAGGAGATAAAATATGAGATAAATGAAAAAAGAATTGAATATTGAATAGATTCTATAAAACATGTGGAAAAAAGCAAAAAAGAAAAATAAAGATAAAAAGAAATAATAAAATATATAAAAGACAAGTTTCAAGAAAAATATATCAATAAATGGAGAAATAAGAAATTAAGGAGTGAAAATTTAAAAGGAATTGAAGATAAAATAACAGAAAAAAGAAAACAATTAAAGTATGGAAAACAATTAATAATATAAGGAATGTATATTCAAATAAAGAAAAACAACAAATAATTGAATAAAAAAAAGTAATTTGGATAAATGAACAAAAATATGCAATGTGTAATATCTGTAATAAAATAACAACAATAAATAATATCATTCTCATTTGTATACTCATTAAACAATCACAGATGAATAAACATGGTAAAATAGGATAATATATGTGGAGAGATTTAAAAATTAAATTTAAAATATATAAAGATGAAGAAATAAAGAAAAAAAGAGAAGAAGAAAATACAAAGCAAAGAAGAAAAGAAGAATAGGGAAAGATAAAATACTTATGGTTTGAATCAAGAAATAATAAATAGGAAAGAAATTTAAATAAAAAGAAGCATT